AATAAAAATACACCAATCTTGAGCTGTCTCCACTCTTTAGTTTCATATTCAGTGGTGTCAAGGACGTGTTTAACAAAGCACACAGAAAGCATACTACCGCTAGATAGGTTGTATGACATAATATGCAATTGCACACCTTCGGTGGTTTTGAAAAGAGCCGTTTGGGTTTGCTTGAGATATTTACAAACAATACAATACATGAACAAAAGAAAAGCATGAACAAAGTAAAAACTATGTACAAAGTTAAAAAAGGGACGCCTGGCAGATGTGAAACCTCGAAATTATTTTGTTTAAGTTATATGCATAAAAGAACAGATTACGACAGGAATTAGATAGTTATAATGAGAAGATAAAGCTTTGCTAATTTTTTACCATAAAATAATGACTATTTATTATATAATTATTCATTTTCAATTTATAATAAACCGTACAAAATGATATTCAATTCATAATAAACCGTACAAAATGATATTTTTAAACTCATATGGTAATATAAATATTAAATTAGCCGACAGCGTATTTGTGCCTTCTAGCGTAATCTTTAGATACCATCGTGAGAATCAACCAATTTTCGTTCGATAAAATGACTTTACCTATAGAATTAAGTAGATGGCGCTATTAAAATTTTATATACCTACTGGAAATAACTAAAGGGAGTATTCTTTAAAAACCTTAATACATTCTTCTGATTTATTACATTAAAATTCTTATTTTTATTTATTACATTAAAATTTGGGCTTCACGTTAAAAAAAGATTGTGTGGCGGCGCTGTCGTCGCGCCGCAAGCGAAACACACCGAAGCCTAAATCACGCTATTAATATTCCGAATCATAGGCAGTATATATAGAACTTCTCCGAACTATCACTCGGAGTGTTGGCCGCTCCCCGGGCAGAACACCTTGCCCGGCGGGAGATCTCCCCTTTTCCTTCCACGGCCACAGTGGTGACCCCGACGTGATCTGAATACACGCAACCAACAACCTTCGGAAACTTCAAGCTTCATCATCGTCATAAAAATAACCCCACCCATTCGCTCCCGAGCAGATATCGTCTGCAATCTTCATATCCTGCAAGCCAGCTAGCTTCACAAGGTTCATCGCAGCACTGGAATAATAATGCTTCCTGTTCCTTCAAGCTACTCTCTGCGCCATACAGTGTTCGGCACGGCTCTGAGCCTTACTGCTCGCCTCTGCTTCACGGCACTCTCGCAGATTACTTGCCTTCTTCTCGACTCACCGCAGACTACAAGGCAATTTCCTGGCACTTGCACATTCGTCGACAACGAGGCTGCACTATCGACCTCCGGTCTGAGCAGGGGGGTGGCGTGGCGGCGCTGTCGTCGCGCCGCAAGCGAAACACACCGAAGCTTAAATCACGCTATTAACATTCCGAATCATAGACAGTATATATAGAACTTCTCCGAACTATCACTCGGAGTGTTGGCCGCTCCCCGGGCAGAACACCTTGCCCGGCGGGAGATTTCCCCTTTTCCTTCCTCACCGGCCACAATTGTAACACTTATTTCCTATAAAATTAAACCTAGGTGTCTCATATTTTATGCTGCCGTTCAAAATGATATTTTTAATTCATATGGTAATATAAATATTGAGTTATTAAACCTTTAAATACGCCTAACGTAATTAAACTTTAATACTAAAGAGTCCTGTACTTATATTTAAAGTATGAAGAAATGTTTATTGAATATTAAATTTCATTTTTAAAGATTTTACCTTTTCCTCGCCGATTAGCACTTCAACACACTTATATTAACACACTTAATTTAACACTATTATCCTCACATTTTCACTGAAAAAGCATAAATTTTTAACAAACAGAACAAAAACAAACATAAACATTGAAATGTGAAGTGAACTTGCATACGAATGGCCCGCACCCCATTCGCTAGTCGCTAACGCACTCCTAAACAACTTCAGGGCAAAGCCAGGCTTGTGGCTCAGTAGAAACAGTTTACGAGTTATTTTATTACTTGATATAATTGATTGATTCATCTTAATGAGGCAAGCCGGGCTTCTGGGCTTGTATAGAGGCTTCGCCACTGGGTCCCGCTAGTTTTTAATATAATTATCTTGTAAGTAAAAAAACTCATAGTTTAGGTCAAATCGTTACATAAAAAATGCATTCATTCCACACGACTTCCGGTCGCGCAACTCGACACTTGTCTTATTGAGACACACAGACACACGGACAACATTGTTAGGTAGTATTATTACATAACATTACGTGTAAATGTAACCAATTGGGTTAATATGGAGTCGATTTTTATTTGCACTGGCAATTTTAAACACTTGCGCTCAATTCTGTCACCACTCGTGACTGTTTGAACTAGAAATGATATATATTATACTGTTGTAAATATTTGGAGATATACTTCTTCAGCCGTAGCCGGTAGAAGTCTACTACCGAACATTGACCGCTCCCGTTGTAGGATGGATTTTCCTTAATTCCTAAATTGGTAGCAAGATTAGCGATTAGAGTTCCCAGATGTCTCGCACCTTTGACAAACATTAGGGAATTAATTTTTAAAACAACTAAGGTTCAAGTATTTTGTCGTTGTTAATCTATCATAAAGGACCATAGAAAAGGAACTACGCGATGGTGCCTTGGTGCGATATGAATAGTATAGAATATTTTTATTCAATATAGATTTTAACATAATCCTTACTGTAAGACATTTACATATTATTTTCCGAACCATTGGGTATCGGAAAATACCTCTTTTGGAAACGAGGCATTCCATCTCTGTCCTCAGGACTGGCATGCATTTGCATTTTGATTCTTAATTGAAGATGAATGTACATGTCTATGGGCCACAGCATCCACTTACCATCAGGTGGACTGTTTGCTCGTTTATCACCCTTATTCTATAAAAAAGGTGAACTGAGTGCTCGTTTGTCACCCTTATTTTATTGAAAAATATGCCCATTATAAAAACAATAAGAATGTATTACATTGTTTTGTACTGGTACTGCTTGTACTCTCCTTCCCTTAATTCTAACTCCGTAAAAATACTTAACACTAACCAATTAAATATTATAAATAAATTATGTATACATCCAGTAACACAGATAGTATCGCCTCACGATTCTGCAAAGTGGCACACTAGTGACTGATAACAGAGGTCTGTTATGTCATACGACGTGCGCCTCTCGCCGCGAAGATAATGATGCTCAATGACATTGCGGACGGATTTGCAATGAAATGATTGTATTTACTCATTGAAATTTATACTTTCATACATATTATCTTAACATTGAACAGGTTCTGACACTACTCATTATCTTCATCATCATTATAGCCCCCTAGTGAACATAGGCCTCCCACAATGAATGCAACAAATCACGGTAATGAGCCAACTGCTTCCGTCTAGCTACTTCAGCTTACTAATCCGTTATAGACATTACATTAATATGCGGTGTTTCTATTTTTTTAATGCTTCGTTTTTTTAAGTGTTAAAGCCACACTGCAGCTATATTATAGTTGTAGGATGAATGGGTCGACTCGACCGGGGAAGGACCACGCTCCTTAAGAATACCAGCGTAAAATAGTAGCTTGAAATTAATGTTTAAGGGACCACAAAATAAATGACGTTGTCAATTTATAGGGTTGGCGCTTAGATTATTATAATAACTTACAAATAAATATTTTCCTGTTGTTCGATTTGTCTGAAAATAAAGTTCACTTCCACACGTTAATAATTGTCTACTAAACCAACCAGTAGCCGAGGTAACTCAGGAGTTAATTCAATTTTAATTTATATAAAACTAGTTCTCGTACTACACAGTTGACCTCGCAACTACCGTCAATAATTTAACTAAAATTTATGTGTTAATATACTATATTTGTGGTAAACGACAGCTTGACACATGTTCATAGTACTGTACTATTACGGTACGGATTCCGGGTTCAAAACCCAGTTTAACGGAGCCAACATTTGTACAAACAGAATTGTTGGATTTTGGCGCTGATTGTGTCTCCAATACTGCATCTTTACTTACATTTTTCATTCTCATTGCGTAAGCGTTACTTGCAACGAATATTAGTCTATTATTCGGTATTCGACCTATTCGGCTACTTGGATCCTATTCGGTCAAATATCGAATATTTATTCGACCGAATATCGAGAATACTTAAGTAAGAGTTTTAATTGTAGTCAGATAATTGGTCATGAAAATATTTATTTATTCTCAAATATTTTTTTCTTGAAGTCACTAATGTAGTCATAGGTAAATAATCAACTTCGATATAATAAAAATTAATCAGATAAATGTAAAAAAAAACCTTTTTTTATGTTTTATAAATGTCTATACATTCGAATTATCGTAATACAAGTGGAAGATAATGGTGCAGAAAGACTATTTTTTCTTCATTTTCAGGCAGTAGTTCACTCCTCTTCTTCTCGAAGACAATCCCAGCTTCAGAGAATCGACGCTCTAAAGAATAAGCACTACTTTCTTCCTGGCCGAATGATTAATTGCCTAAATAGTCGTCTATTATATTACCCCTTATAGTTTGTATTTTTGGCCAGGAAGTCCGAAGAATATTCGGTATTCTTCGTGTGGCCGAATATACTATTCGTTGCAAGTCTAGTTAAGAATGATTGCCTCTTTAACGTAAACGTAGTTCTGGCACTGGAATATGCTTTTTAATTGCACGTGGTAGAGCCATGCTGCAGTTATGTTAGTAGTATCGTTGTAGCACGAATGGGTCGGCTTGACCGGGAAAAGACCACGCCCGCATAGAATACCAGCATGAATGTGAAATAGGTACCATCACAACATAATGCTGAAGTGTTTTGTGTGCTGAGTGACACCCCCTTTTTACTAGTAACCAGGCATTTAATCTTAGTCCTCAAGGACAATTCGTCTGCATTTTATTTCTTATGTGATAATGGTTGTCGGTGTATGTAGACCATAGCAACCACACCATCAAGTAGACTGCTTGATTGTCTCCCTTACTTCTATAAAAGTACTCATTCACAGATTCGGTGTGTTCGAACAAGCGAAACTCTACATGGTGACAGACAATGGTACCCTAACAAACACTGGCAAGTTGGCATGCGGACTGGCAGCTGGTGTAGCTGAAGCGGTGTTCGCGGTGACCCCCATGGAGACTGTTAAGGTCAAGTTCATCAATGACATGCGGACGGAAAAGCCGAGGTATAAGGGTTTCTTCCACGGCGTAAGGACCATTGTGAGAGAAGAAGGTATGTAGTTAATTATACAGTTACTGTTCTTTGCCGGCTATTGTTTCGGAGACTTCGGCCAGTTTCCATTTGTCGTATGTCGTATTCGATTTTTAATCGGAGTCTCAAAGCCACCTTTCATACAAATCGGATTGAAGCTGAAGCCCGATTGTAGCTAAACTATTTCCGGTATGTCCGGACAAGAGTCTGATAAAACAAAATTTTTGGTATAACAAATTCTGAAGGAAAGATTTTCTCTTTAGGAAGTTTCGAACTATATCGAACGAATAATGACGTTAGCTAGTTCAACGGAAATTAGAAGTCTGACAGATTAGTGTGAATACCACCACGGAACAACGTCCGACAAGACTTATCCATCAAATGTTACAACAAACCATTCGACAAACAGTTTATTTTTGCTAACGTAAATAGGTCCATACAAAATGCTTTGCCTTAGAGCTTTTGCCGGATCCGACATTTGACAAGTGGGAATGAGCCGCTAGCCTTGAAATTCGAATTCAATTTTATCCAACAAACTAATAAAAGTAACAAATTACTTATGAAAGTTACACTTTTTACAGGGTAGAGCCACCATGCAGCTATAATGTAGCGCGAATAGGTCGGCTCGACCGGCGTAGGACCACGCTTTCACAGAATACCAACGTAAAATATTAGCTCAGTCCTGCTGTGTTTCATATGGTGGGTGTAGATAACGGGAGACCCTTTTTACTGTAAACGAGGCATTTCATCTTAGTCCTCACGGGTTAATCGAGGATAAATGTAGATGTTTATGGGACACAGAATACACTTACCATCAGGGGGACTGTGTGCTCGTTTGTCACCCTATTCTATAAAAAGAACCATTATTATAAAGTTAAACGATGGAGACAATTTTCTTAACAAAAAAGACGTAATACATTCATCCAACTGCTGAGCAAATGCCTCCTCATATCTAAGGAGGTTTTATAGCAAGATAGAGGCCGTCACGAAATTTATTAGATCTGCTGGTTTCCTCATTTTATTTTCCTTCACCGCTGACTACGTAATAAATCAGCATTTTTTTAAATTCATAGGTGCCAGCGAAGCTCGAACCCGGGTTGCCTTTGCTCGCGTTCTATTTATCACCTGATCTGCCTAGATTCACACTGATATAAATATAAATCTATTATAAGATAGTACCATTATATTTTTGCCTGCAATTCTAATTAGGTTAAGTTCCGTTTCAAACGTTTCCAATACAATTTTAGAAATAAAAACATGTGGTCCCGCCGTTGCATCGTTGACGTGAGTGTAGTTATTTTTGTCTATATTTATCGAGAGCTCGGTCGTAGATTTCATTTGATTCCATTAATATTTCTTCTCTTTTTTTATAGGGTAGGTTGACAAACTAGCACACAGTCCACCTGACGGTAAGTGGTTGCTGTGGCCCATAGACATCTACATCTATCCTCGATTACAAATCAAAATGCAGATGCGTTGTCACCCGTGAGACTAAGATGGAATGCCTCGTTTCCAGTAAAAATGGTCTTCGGTTCTCTACACTCACCATACGAAACACAGCAGCATTAAGCAACTATTTTACGCTGGTATTCTGTGAGAGCGTGGTCCTTGCCCGGTCGAGCCAACCCATTCGTACTACAACTATACTACTAATTAACTGCAGCATGGCTCTACCTTCTCTCCTCATAATTAAGCAACCTACTCATTGTTTATTGATAATTGTGATATTGTGATTGATTAAATTTATAAACGATAACATGATGAACGCGTTAAGGCCTTGATCAGCGGGCAAGTTTTATGTAAAGCTGGTTGGTGTATTACGAGTGATTATTTTTCGTTACCAGTCCGTAACTGACAAGACCAATGATTTTTGTTACTTGTTTGAAACAAAACTAAAGAAGATCCCAAGAAAAATGGTTTGGCCGTGAAAGGAAAAGGGGAGATCTCCCGCCGGGTAAGGTGTTCAGCCCGGAGAGCATCTTATACTCCGAGTTCCTCCTAGTGAAACAGTAAGTCCCTGTAAAGGGACTTACTGTTTCACTCGCAATTTCGAGCGGGTCCCTCACCGCTGTGATTATTATTTTTATCTAAAAATGTCATATAAGTATTGCGTAGTCTCCGAGTGCTACAATACGACCAAAACCATAAAATAAATTGTTTTTATGGTCCTATGCTAACCAAATATCAGAAAAAAAGTGGATGATCGTTATGAAAAGAGCAATCCTACATACACATACATAAACACTCACGCCTGTCACCCAGAGGGGTAGACAGAGAGAGACTACAGACTTCCATTTCGCACGATCCTAACACGCCCATCTCGCCTCCCGCACATCCATATACATACGCATACATGCTCGTCGGTTAAGGGTACTCCTTATTTGGCCCATTTTCAATATATTGCCAATTTGGTCGTTAAACTTTCGCCTAGGACGTCCCTTTCCGACTCTGCCTTTCACATCTGCAACAAAATTTGCTTTGTCACTCTTTCCTCATTCATTCTTTCCATGTGACCCAACCACCGAAATCTCCACTTCGTAATAGATAATATTGATATAAATATTTTTGTAATTAGTGAGTATTATATAAGGTACCTATATCGAAAAGAGTATAAACATTCGAAGGGAAATTAATCTACCCGTCGTAAAAATTAGAGGCTGTCCCTTACTTTTAAAAATACATTAACAATGTCGAAGGCTTCTTTAGATATTTTAAACATGGTCGGATTAAAATATGTCGTTTAAATAAAATAAGTAATAAAATAAATGAGTCCAAGTAACTAATTTGAATAAAAAAGAACCATCAAAACCGGTAGTAGGTAGGTAGTTTCGTGCGTTTCCCATCTGTATGGTTCACTTTTCATAATTTATGATTTTCATATAGAAATGGTAGCCACGTGGCAACGGTAGTAAACCATATAATTATATTATTTTGAAAAAAAAAATCATTAAAAACACATGATTTCATAAATTCAGGCCATCTAGCGTCTTTTTATGTACCACCTTGGGTGTCAATCTGTTGTTTGATAACTATTGTGACTACCTGTAGAATGAAGTAGGTGGCGCTTTTATAGTTTTACACGAAAGGAAATATCTATGTGCCCAATATATATATATTAAAAGGATTGTTACATTTATTTATTATAAAATTAAATTTTCTTATATTTTATGCCGAACTTGTAGTTTAAATTACAATATTAAATGAATCATTTGCCGTATAGTATTTGTATTTTATGTTTCATTACATTTGAAGGTTTCACTTCTGTAGCGTGTGAGCTGCGCGCATGTTTTTTTTTTTAATGAGCACAATATATTTTTATCGCAATCTTTTCAAATTTTCAGTATCGCTGTTGAACATAGGTCTCCCCGAAGGAATGCTATAAAACACATTTCTAATATACCTGCATTCGCCAACTACCCACGTATATCTTACCAGATCGTCACTCCATCCAGTAGCCCTGTACCCCTTTATTCCCCATCGCCACTTCTGCATACTTGATACTTTGTGCTGCGCGGATTACTCTGGGTCTTTTACGGAAAATCTCATACTTTATACATATTCCGTCTTAATTTATCAAAAACTGTATTGTTTATTCTAGGTATCGGCGGTGTGTACAAGGGAGTCACCGCCACTATAATGAAGCAAGGCAGCAATCAAGCCATCAGATTCTTCGTGATGGAGTCGCTGAGGGACTGGTACAAGGGTGGTGACAGAGACAAGCATGTACCTAAGTACATCGTCGGTCTCTTCGGTGGTATTGCAGGTGAGGATCACAAAATAAATAACTAATATTTAACTAACATTCCCTTAACTTCCCTTATCTAATATTCTTCTAATTCTCTTAACTAATATTCCCTTTTTACTTGAACCCGACTTAGCCTTAGAACTGGGCTAATCGCCACTTTGACAATACATATAAAGATGCAATTTTGTAAATTGTTAATTTAATATTATTATTTAGCAACCTAGAGAATGTATAATTATGGAGTTATTAATCATATAATAAAATAAAAATAAAATCGATTTTAATGTTGCAAAACTACACTCACGCAGATTATTTAAAAAGTAAAATTATAAAAAAATAACATGAATTTAAATATTGTACGAAAACTTAAACATTGGGTTGGGTTTATAATTAGGTCGCGTGAATTTGAGGATTTTGTCACTGTGGGGGGGGGGGAGGGGGGGGTCAAAGAGGTTTATCTGAAGCACCCCCATGCGATTTTTGCTGCCGGAGCAGCGTCGAAGTATTTTTCTTTATTTTTTAAAAATATTTTAAATGACTTACTAATTAAATATTCTCACGTTTTTGACGTTACATCTGTCAATGTCATATCGATATATAGTACTGAATCGATCTCGTGAATCGATATTTCATCCTAGAGAATCGAGATCGAATCTTTTTCTGTTTTATTAAGAACTATAAAATTATTTACAATTAGTTGAATGTACCCCAACTCGTAGAGAATAACAGTTTTTCAATTCATTCATTCAATGTTAGCTGTACTTTATTGTATCTTTTGATATTGTAAATAAAAACTCTTAACGCAAATCAAAAAAAGACCAATTTTTTCGAAATCGATCTTTAAGATTTCGATTTTTTGTGAATCGATTCGTGCAATTTCGATTCGAATCGATTTAAAAAATTTGTAAAATTAATAGCTCGCCGGCCATTTTGTTGACAGCTTTACGTCATGCCGTTGCTTCCGAGCATGCTTCCTAGTTTCAGAATTTTGGTGAATAGCGGAATGTTTGTGGCGGCGGAATACTGCTAAATATCGCAAAGATCCTTTCTTACAAATGTGGCAGCCATAAATTATATTTATAAATTAAAGTAGTTATAAAAGTTAATATTTTGGTGTTATATTGACTGCAATAGCGAGCGAAGCGAGCCTGGGACGTGGGGCACCCTGACTTGGACAGGTTAGGTTAGAAGGGGATAACCGGTTCAAGAGCGAGCGAAGTGAGCGAATAGACCTCGTCATCCTCTTCGTGGTTATTTTTCTATATACCACTCAAAAGTAGGAGCCCCGCTTTGCGGGGCTCCTTCTTTTTCCGTCGACCGGGCTTCCCTTGACTGCACCACGTTAAGTGGCATGGGGCTTCCGTCCCTCAACTCTCACTCCCCATAAATCGGGTTAAAATTATCATAAAATTACTAAACATAACCTCAAAATTAGATTATTCAAAATTTATTTAAAAAAAGCTAAGCACGTCCGGCAGAAAGGGGAAGTAGGGGTGACTCTACAACTCCTCCCCTCCCCCCACACCACCTCAACCCTCTAATTCTGGCGACTGAATTGTAAACCTTACCCACATTTTTATTAAAATTTTATTTTTAAATAATTTATTAATTATTTATTACAGCCTATAAAAAATGCACTGTTGAAAATAGGCCTCCTCTATAGAGCCTCGTAGGGAGGACATTTAACATGTTGCCACGCTTGGCAGGCGGGCTGGCAACCGCGGTGTTTTGTTATTTTGGGTTATTAGGTATTAGAAAGATGCTGCTGCCCATCTTCTGTTTCATTTCCTTGTCTCTGAGTGTAGTGGATTCTATGCCTCTTATATTACTTAAAATTTTTTATGCCGCCCTACACAGAGTAGTTTTAAATATAATAATAGCTGAGAATAGAGTAAAAGAGCGTTAAAAATGTGGTTTGAAAACTCATTCCCTTTTGTTAAGAAATTTATAATAAGTAGAGATGGGCCGAATATTGATTTCACTGAATATGGCCGAAAGTTCGGTAAAACTTTTACCGAACCGAATATTCGGCAAGATCACCTCGGTACCTGACCAATTTATGGAAACTTGTTACCGTAAAGCGCGCGGTATTAGCGCCGAACCCTGCCCCTCGCTCATCGTCTAGTACTGAGCAAATTGCCGGCACATGCTTATGTTTTGACAATTTTTTGTGAGAAAAATAGTATTTCATTGTGCTATTCTTAGTGAAAATTGATAATTATATGATAAAAATGAGTGGCAGGAGATCTAATATTTGGACTTATTTTAGATAAACTGACGAAGAATGTAAACTGAAATGTACTAATGTAATGTAATGTTTGTTTGTTTGATTCCAAAAACATTTTATAAAGCTTTCTATTTGCTATAATTGAAAATAAATCTACAGTACCTAAAAACATAATGCTATACAAGATATAAGTAGATTTAACCCGTAAATAAAATATACTTTTAACAGTAAAATTATGAAAGACATGGCATTACTCAATTCGGACATTTCAATACAGTAGATACTTTGAGTACCACTTTAACGAATATTCGGTGATTTAGCCGAACAGTCCATAGAATACTATTATTATTTATTATTATTATACACAATAGAATGGCTGACAACCTTATTTTGTACCGAGATTCAGCGTCGCCAGGAGCACACATACAAGCAATTACGTCGTATTATCAGTAAATCACTACTACAAACCCCATTCGCTGTGTTGACAGACGGATTTTAAGACATATTTATTTGTAAATAGCGTCCAATTTGACATTTTCTAAATAATTTGCATGCGAAATTTGGAAACGATTGTAACGTCAAAACACATCTCGTATTGACATTTATACGTGTGAATTGACGTCTTAGTGGAATTTTACTGGCAACACGGGTTCCGCTCACACCCCCTTCTATTATGTATGTATTATAGTATTCTATGGGAACAGTCGACCGACTACGAATATTCGGCAAAGCTGCCGAATACCGAATATGAAACGAATCTAATAGTAAGCAATACTAACATGCAAATTCAAATAAAAAATGTCCTCAGGTGCGGCGTCAGTATTCGGTAACACGCCAATTGATGTAGTCAAAACACGCATGCAAGGTTTGGAGGCTGCGAAGTACAAGAGCACGTGGGATTGCTTCATAAAGACGTGGAAGCACGAAGGTCCGCTCGCCTTCTACAAAGGTACAGTGCCACGATTAAGTCGCGTCGTTTTCGACGTCGCAATCACATTCACTATATACGACAGTATCATGGATGTATTCAATTTCATTTGGAAGTGAGGTTGCTTGATACAGGATGATTGCAACTTTTGAACAGGAAATACAGTGGTGCTTGGTAGTATGAGATGGAGAAGAAATATAATCAGCCGGTTTGATGACATAAATAAAATAAGAAAAATATTTTAATGTTTTGTACTTTTCAATGTGTTATAATTACGAAAGCAAATAGCGATAGAATAAAAATTATAATATGTATAAAATATGGCAACACTGTCAGTCAGACATTATTTAAAAATATTGTAGTGGCCGTTTATTAGTTGCAAATAAAAATGTATTGCTAGTTTTTGTATGGATCTATGATAAACCCTAAATAAGATGTACAAATAGGTTTGTTAGCGTAACCTGTTCATAAACTTGTGAGCAATCGGTTTTTTACATAACACTAAAAATATAGTTTTATAGGAAACTTACTTATGTAAGTGTATTTTTATATTATTGCTATATATTAATTGTATTGACATTTTTTTGTTATTCTATCATTATTATTTACAATAGCTATTGCTGATAGTTATTAGCTGGGACAAATTTATAATTGATTGTGATTATTACGAGTATTTTGAATATTTATTTTTGTATTTTTTAATTCAATAACGATATTTTTTGTTGAGACCATAACAATGTTGATTTTAATAGTTTTATTTTAGCTATACAAACAATGACTAAGTACTCGAAAATATATGTTTAAGTTGAAAATATCGACTTCAGTTTCAACTCTTTCATACTTTACCACATAGAAATATGTATCTTTGAATATTAATATACTCATATATTAATTTTTGTGAGTGTTGAATAATTTTTCAACTACGATTTCGTTATTTTTGTTAGTGCTGACAACACCAAATATTCCTGCCAAGAAAGCTTAGATCGTTGAGATCTTATCAATCTAATAAATATTCCTATCACATACCAATACCTGTATGTTGTAATTTTCGTATTAGGTCTTTGTCATTATTTTTATCATTATATAAATAAATAAATGTATTAACGTATAACGTATCTTTGCGACAATTTTTTAACATTTTGCCATTAACTGTTTCAAAGGTCTCATGTCTAATATTCCTTTGCCACATAAAAATATACGCAGGCTGTGTTTTTACGAGTTTAGTTATAAAGAAAATATATCGATGGTTTTTTTTTTGTAATTTATTTACATCAAACTTATTTCATTCCGTTATTCGTTACTTGTACTGTTATAAATAATATTGTCTTCTACGATAATCTTCTAGAATCAATTATATTTTTAAGAAATAATTTAATCAAATTTTTATTATTGCTTTTATAATGTGCATTTTCTTGATTTTTTCGAATCTTAGTTAAGATCTCTTTGTTTTAATATCAATTATGATTATATAAATACTTTACACATATATTTTTACACATTAAAATTACAAATATTGCAATGACTTAATTGATACGTACATATCCACACCACACCGATTTTTTTATATGTATGATAGAAATTTAATTAAATATTTAGAGATCTTAACTTACATTCCATTCTCTCTCTCTCTCTCTCTTAAACTATTCTTTCCGAATTATCAATGCTTTTATTTGATTTAATTTTGTATGAAATATTTTATTGTGCTTTCAATGTTGACTTTTGTGTTATAATTTATTTTCATTTAAATAAAATTGTCGAGTAATTCTTGTTTAATTTTAAAGTTTTACCCGTTGTTTGCTCACTTGTGTGAATTCAGAATCAATACTCCCATACCTGCTGCTACGAAGCTACTTTCTGCCAGTCTACATATAAACCAATAATCGATATTTTGCAAAAGCCTTTTTTTATCAATCACCAAGGTTTAAGGTGCACCGTGTACAGATGTATCATGTAATATTGGTGTGACATACTAGCTAACAATCCACCTGATGGTAAGTGAAGAATACTATAATATATACATAAAAGAACTGGGGAGTGGGCGGAGCCCGCGTAGCCACTAAAATGACACTAACACGTCAATTCACACGTATGAATGTCAACACGAGATGTGTTTTGACGTTACAATCGTTTCCAAAATTATTTAAGAAATGCCAAATTGCACCCTATTTACAAATAAATATGTATTAAAATTTAATGATGATCTTGAACATTAATCAAAAGTTTAAAATGTGTAAATTTACTCAGTCTGTCAACACAGCGAATTGGGTTTGGCGACGCCAATCCTAGTATAAAGTAAAGTTGACAGCCATTCTATTGTGTATTATAGTATTCTATGTTAAGTGGCTACTTCAGCTTTTTTTTCATCGTGGGGAAATCCTCATAGATCCAAAACTCCACGTTGGTCACCATCAGCGTATATGTATATGAGGGGTCCCGGGATCTCAGTTCGGAACGCAACCGGAGCCTCTGTCATTTTGCTATATGGAAGCACGTCCCGAGGGCAGTTCTTTCTGCCCCCAGCACTTTCGCAGATGTTTCGGGAGTCAGGACCACTTCAGAGACATCGTCCTCCTCAGGGTTTACATCTCTAGGCATTCGGGGCCCCCGCCCCGAGCTTATGCAATTACGGAGGCCCCGTTTCTGGTAGGGGAACACCTTTTATAAGAGGAGGGCCGTGACGAACGCCTTGGCGACGTCGTTTCCGAACAGGATCTACCCCCTCCTGATCCCGCTCAGGAGTCTCCTTCTGGACCATAACGAAATCACAGAAGGTGGCTACGTCCCTCCACGCTGAGTCCCTGCGTCGCCGACACGACTTCTGGCAGAGAGGTTCTGACCGATCCGTCTTACCAGGACCGTTCACTCCAGCTCCCACGCTAGACATATTGCCAGCGTATGGGATGCGGAGTCCTGGTCCTGAGCACTGCAGCGAAACAGTTTGCCGTCGCCTCGCGTCCGATCTTATACAAATAACCACCGAAGCACTCGTGCCTGGTTATTATCTGTATAAGTCTATAGGTGAGTCTTTATGCTCGTCTATACATCCAGGCTACGAACTGCAGCAGGATTGCTTCAACAACGCTTTTGCGCGCATAACGCTCTTCACAGAGACGAACGCGCCACGTTGCGAATACGTTAAGCCGTTCCTGCCGCTTCACCTCATCTGGCTCACTCCCACCGCTCTGACGGAGGACACGTGTCCGTCCCGTCGTACACCCTCGCATCCATGTCCACCAGTATGTTAAGAGGTGTAAAGCGAGACAGGACTGTAGCCTATAGACAACTGCAACCAAGTTCAAGTGCCACATAGGCGTCGTCATCTCTAGGAACTAATGACTCACAGCCTACAGTCATACTGGCCATAGATTAATTTACGTGGGTTGTCTGAAAAGTGTCCGACCTAACAAAAACAATTTTTCTTAATTTTATTTTACAGTCTCCTTGAAACACCACACTTCTCCCAGCGATGCTCTCATCTCTAACCTGTACAAATAGTACTCTGCGTTTTTCTCTGTAAGGTGATTGCCTCCTCGTTTGACGAAAATCTCTGCCCTCCGAGCGCAATTTTTAGATGAGGGAATAAACAAGTCGCTTGAGGCTAGGGGTACGTTCCAAAACGTTTCCAGTATACTGTCGAATACAAATGACGTCATTAATTGACGCCATATTGTACTGGCGTGCCGCCGCCTTAATGTGTCAGATATCCGACCATATTTAAAACAATTTTTAATTGTGTGTACGCCGAATGAAGCACGCCATAATGTTTTTATTTATTCAAATACAAAAAATTATAGAATTACTGGTATCTTCATTAGAAGGATATAATGACGTTTGGAGCACAAAATGACAAAATAATCGCCAACACTTTTCCAATATGACGCAAATGTATGATGTCATATACTGTCAAATGTTTTGAAACGAATCACCAGTATGGCGTCGATTTATGACGTCATTTGCATTGGACAGTACACTGGGTTATATTTTGGAATATACCCTTAATCGGGTAAGTAAAGCGAATGGTCAAGCAGTTCGAACCGTACCTCGTGGATTTTCGCCATGGCAACCGCTGTGGTAAGAGACGACGCGACGCATTGTTATGCTGAAACAGAATTTTCTTTTTCTGCAAATGTGGCCGTTTTTCCGCAATTTATGCCTTCAATTTGTCAAGTAATGCGTAATACGCTCCTGTGATGGTTTTAACTTTTTGAAGATAATCCATTAAGATAACTCCATGACCATCCCAAAAAACAGTCGCCATCACTTTCACAGCCGAAAAAATAATGTAATTTTGTTTCGGGCGTAATGGTAATAAGTTTCATCTAAAATAATTAATTGGCACCAAAACTCTGATTTATTGCGCCTAAACTGCGCCAACAGAGCGTTGTAAATGTTCATTCGAACACGTTTTTGGTCCAACGTGATCAAACGCGGCACCCAACATGCTTTCACGAATGATTGTTAGGCTCGCCACATCCATACGGAAATCCGTTTCGGAATTCTAAATCGGGATTCCGAACGCAGCGCACTGTGTACGAAATTCCGAAACCGAACGGAATCCAGTTTTGCCCGTAACCCGTAAGATTCCGTACGGAAAACTACCGTAGATGTGGGTGGAGTCATTGATTTTATATGGACTTGCTACGTTCGGAATCCCGATTCAGAATTCCGAAACGGAATTCGGTATATGTATGTGACGAGCCTAACAATCATTCGTGGAAGCTGTTAAATTTCTTGACATTGGCTGCGTTTGGTAGAAAAAAGCGCTTGTAAGCAAAATGCGATCGTAAGCGGTAAGCGCTGTCAAATCGTAGGTAGCTATTTTACTCTAGGACACGAAGTTAGTTTTAATCGGGGAACCTAACCTAATTTAAATATATGCTTGTAAAGTAAGTTTTAAATATGAATATATTAAAAACTTACCAATCATGAATTTTTAATAACATGTATATGTTTATTCATGTCATTATATTACTTAAAACTAACATTGCACAAAACAACTTATAAACTCTACTTCAAAACAAACAAATTAAATACGCAAAATGGCGGATTGTGTCAGCGCTACTGAAGTTAGCAAGCGTATCCTGGCCGAAAACTGTTTAGTTTCGCCATTTTGCTTACA